AGTGAAAAGAATTCCGCCTAACCAGGTTGATACTATGGATCTGTTTGGAACAGCTTTCTGCCAGTTCTGCATTTCAAACTACCACCATAATTCTGTTTGGGGAAACTTATTCTTACCAGTTTCTAAAAATTTTTGTGATGCAAAATTATTTTTTAAAATCAGATCTATTAAAGTGTGGATAACTGTTGCCAGAATTTTTGAAAAAAATAAATATTTATAATTCTTATGACAATTTTCTAAGAAGTTATTTTCCTCGTCAATAGCTTTACAACCACCTGTACAAAAAACTGCAGCCAGTCCAAACGAACCCTAAATCTCACCAAGCACCATAAAGTAGTCTCCTCAATCAAAACAATAGAAGAGTCCATGAAAATGTATTAGCTCACCTGTGCAACAGCTGAAACAGTAAGAACCGGTAAAGTGGCCAAAGCAACTAGCGCAACTCGCCAATGCAGCAGCAGTCCAATCACAATAGCCACAACTACAGCCGAACTGTCTTGTATGAATATAGAAAGCCTATTGCTGAAAGCAGCTCGAACAAAAGTGGCATCATTAGCCAAGCGCATGGATAATGTATCCGCACTGTTCTCATCTTCATCATACCATCCTACTTCATTATGAAGCATAGCTGTAGAGCATTAAAGTTTAGTTCAAAATCTATCCTTCAAATTTTTGAAATGAGGAACTAAGAGACATCATGATATCATTACCTGAGAACATCATCCTCCTTACTCTTTCAGTCATTTTTTCCCCCATAATACCAAAATAGAAATGCTGCAAAAAGTTGGCAAGCACTGTGATGAAGCCCATACAAGCAATGACTAGACACCATTTGTTCACTTCATTTTGAACGTCTTCAACGCCAATCCTATAATATGCGGCCATTATCAATGCGATAGTATAGGCAAGAAGAGGATTAAATGATCCAAAGATAGCCGCACCAATGCTTCCCAAGAGAGCATAAAGCCATTCTGCAAAACTGAGTTGAGCGAGTCTCCAAAATGATGGTTCTTTGGGAATCTCCTTCTCCTTGGAATATCTCTGTTTGATAGGCATGTCACAGAAGTGATTAAGAGGGCGGCTGAAAGTCTGAGAATGAGAACGCTCGTTTTGAGGATCTGATGTCAAAAGTGGTGAAACAGGTGATTCTGGATTGGAAGGATTAGACATCGGCAAATTTAAGGAATGCACATCAATCTTGGCAAGCTCGGGCAACCTCATTTCAAAACTATCCTGTCGTTTAATGGATGGCACACTTTCTGCAGCTTCCATAGACATCCCATTTTCCATCATTTGTTCCGAGGATGGGCTGTGCACCTTTGGTGAATCCTGTAAGCTGTGGTTTTCATCTGCCAGATTAAGAGTTTGAGATCCAAGCATCCGCTGAAGTGAGGTTGACTTCACCATCTTTGGCGATGATGGCTCTTGGACAAAATGGCTTGCAAGAGAATCCTTTTCAATTTGAGAAGTTG